CAACCCCAAGAAGAGTAGAAGTTATTGCAGCGTAGGAGTGCAGACTGTCTGCAGCAGTGATGGTATCAGTGTCGCCAATTAAAGCGGTTTAGTGTGAGCAGACATGGTGAGCTTTGATTTATTCTACTTCTCTTTGTCTTAGCTGGCTGCCCTCCGACAGCAGAGGGGATCTTTGGGAACAACTGGAGTATAAATCTTTGGAAAGACAGAGACCCACACAGCCTCGAAAAATGTGACGATTCACCAATGCCTTCTGACAAGGTGAGAAAATAATAAAACAAAAACATCATGTTAGGACGGAGAAACAGTCCCTATTAATATACTGTAATAATCCAATTATTGCTGTAATATAACACAGATGAGGATACCCTATGTCCTACTGCCATTCATATGTTTGTTTGGCTCCAAATCATTTTTAAATCATCTCATCACATGAACACTTTTATCTATCTATCTATCTATCTATCTATCTATCTATCTATCTATCTATATATATATATATATATAAAGACACAAAAACATGTGAGAAGAAACTGTCAGCTTTTACTTCAATTTGTCATAATATGTGCTGAAATCCAATATCTTCTACAATCTAAGCTGCTCTAAAGCATCCCAGTTTTCCTGATCCATTATTAACAACTGTTTCAACCAAATCAATTTGCAGTTTTTAAAAAAGCAGTTCTTTGCATTTGGTTTGCCATTACTAAAGTAAAATAGTTTAGCGCACAAATGCAACTATGAACAAGTTAGGAAAGGGCTATAAGACTGTGGCTGTGTAAGAAAGTCCATCCTAACCCCTAGGTCACTATATAAAGCGGGGACTATATAATGGACTTTATATTGAATCTCTTAACTGATTATTCAGACAGATGACCAGTACTTTTCGCTCTCTGTTGGTCACCTGACTGCGGCTCCCTGCACTTTGCCTGTCACATCTTTGTTCTCCTTTCCCCAAAAACGAATCCCATGATGCTTTGTGAGGGGAACTTTTACAAAGCATGCTGTTATATATCTGTTTGACTATGTTCACACTACAACCTGAAGTGAAATCCAAATTTTTTTTTGCCCATATGCGACCTGGATCTGATCTTTTCATGGCAGTCTGAACAACACAGATCCAATTTTTTCCAATCCGACCCAGGCCACTTGGCTATGTGGTCCTGAATTAGATACGAATCTGATCTTTTCAAATACGACCAGATCGCATTCATCCCACCTGAACGCCATTAATACCTGACTAAGGTCACTATTATGCGTCTTGCTACGCAGAAGCTGCAAGAAAAACAACTACCATGGCAGATGATGATGCGGAGAGAAGTATTTATGTTTAACCATATTGAAAAGATTGTGTTTTTTCTCCAAAAATCAGAATTGTGCATCAAGGCCTGCAGTGTGAACGTAGCCTTTGTCTAGTGACCATGGATGCACACTACTTTTCAAGGTGCATTGTGGGAAATTTTGGCTCCACCAGTTTTACTACTTTTTCATCTACCAGACACTGATATAAAATGGCGTCATCCCTATATAGGGGTTAGGGCGTATGTTCGGGCACAGCCTATATTTACATGTTTTTAGAACCCTTTGTCTACATTATAATCTGTTATTCGGAAAATTAAAAATGTTACACAGTGGAAAATCTCTGAGGATGTGGCCCAGAAGCCAATAGTGACACCTCTGGTTTATACTTCACCTGTCTGTGAGATCTGCACAGCCAAATTATGTCATGTTTTGCAGCCCTCCCCCCTGCATGGTATCTGGGCAGCCTGAGTTTCCTCACCTATAAGTTTTTAACTACACATACAGTACAGCTCTGAGCGAAAGCTCTAAATGGCGAAGATTTGCAAATTGCATTGCTATCAGATGACTTGATGAAGCTTTATAAATGTCAGAAACAGCTGTGTTTTCTACTTCTACATCTGTGTGAGTTTGCATGCTTGCATTCTGTGCTGTCCACACCCCCTCCTCCCTTATTTTTTCCCACTTATAGAGCATGTTGAAAGCTTTCTTTTTTTTTTATATCATTGCTACTGGTCAACTGCGAGTAATGAAATGCTGAGCAAAAATCAAGAATCCAATAATCTGAGTTTCAAGTTATTAGTTAGAATTTTATTGCACAACATAAGTATTTGATCAGAAAAACAATACTTCATCATTTATAATAACGACTTTGTTTGCAATATCAGATATTTCCTAAAGTTAAGAGGTTTATACACACTGTAGCAGGGATTTTAACCATTCCTCCATACACATAATTTTTCAGATCTTTCATGTTTCTGGGTTGTTTAAGGCCTGTCAAAATTTTTCGATTGAGTTCGGTTCTGGAGATTGGCTTGGCTACTCCAGGACCTTGATGTGTTTTTATATGAAGCATCTCTATAGAATCCATAGCGAACCTGGCTGGGTCATTGTCATGCTGGAAGACCCAGCCATGACCCACCTTCAATGCCTTTAATGAGGGAAGAGTAAAATCTACCATTACATGGCCTCAACCATCCTCTTCCAATTATGCTGTCTCTGTTTGCAGAAAAGCATCTCCTAAGAGTTAGGTTTCCTCCTCCTGGCTTCAGGGTTGTGATCAGACTTCAAAAACTTTCCCATTCCTCCTGTGGATCATCCAAATAGATGGGCAAGACATGCTGCCTTGCTTCAGGATTTTAAATAATGGCAGCATAGTGTTACCAGTGGTTCTCTTTGAGACTGTGGTGTCAGCTCTCTCCAGGTCATTTACCAGGTCCTGCCTTGAAATTCTGGGCTGCTGATCCCTCGCCCTCTTCATAATCACTAACACCCCATATTCTTAGATGGAGCCCCAGAATGAGGGAGATTGACCGCCATCTGGAATCTCCTCCATTTTCTTATAATTGATGCATGCCTGTTTCCCTGTAGCGCATCCTTGTGCAAGTCTACTATTTTTATCCCTGATGTCCTTCCAAATCTATTTGGACTTAGTAAGCAGACAGGTGTCTTTTATAAGGATGAGTTCCAACAGGTGTATTTAATGAGTGGAGAAGAGGAGGGCTTCTTAAAGAAGATCTAACTGGCCTGTGAGAGCTGGAGTTCTTACTGGTTGTTAGGGGATCATATAGGCTACTCATCTTATGCAATAAAAGGCTAATTAATTATTTAAAAAGTCAGTCATTGTGATTTTACTGGATTTTTGTTTTTAGATTCATTTCTTCACATTTGAATAGGACCAATGATAGAAATCCTTTAAAATTAACAGCTACTTGTTCTCTACATTGTGTATCAGTGTTGTCTACACAGGTTATACATTTAAAAATGCTGCTTTTTAAAGCTGGAATCCAGTTGTAATAAATGTACCTTAATTTACATGGAAACCCCAGAATGGATGGGGCCTAAATGTTTCATTTTAAGATTCTTATATATCTCAACATTTTTAATAAACTTCCTTTAAACAAAAAAGGAATTCTGCTTCTTTTACTGGGAATTAGACCTTAAATTGGCTTCATCAGGAAAATGAATTTATAAATATAGTTAATAGCAATAGTATTATGAAAGATTCGGTTGGTTTAACAGTTTTAGTGACCTGATTTGTTTTTACTACTCTTAGGTTTTAATGTCATGATTTTACTGGTGCAGCCATTCATATGTGAGAAGTCCAGTTCAAATAAGAATTAAGATTCAAAGAACTGCCGATGAATAACGTGTTCTGTTTAAATCTCACTTATTCAACAATATATTGTATTGAAATTGAGATTAAAGCAAGATTTTCTCTTTAACAGGCTACAGCAAATATATCAGACCTAGTGACATTTGCGGAGATCAAAGTAGAGGAGTTGATACCAAATAATGCCACAAACTCCAATGAAGAAACTGTTTACAATCAAGGTAAGACAGATGTGAGGAGTTTGAGTTAGAATCTGGGCAAATTATGATTTTCTTTCCTGTTTTCTGAGAGTTTGACTCTGCTTATTTTACACCAGAACCTGAAGAAAGCATGGAGGAGGAATCAAATGTTTACTTGGTTGATGGCAGTACTTGCAGCTTGCCAATTTATCAGGATGGACAACAGGGTATGTTGCGAGGAGATCCAGAGGAAACAAGTCTAGAGCTGAGTATAGGGGAAACGATAGAAGAGGCCTTTAGCAGCCACATAATTCCAATCGAAGTGGAGGACGACGATGAAGAGGAGGATGTTCAGTTTGTCCAAGCAAGCCAAATTGAGGCAGCATCGAGTCTTACAGTTGGGCCCAGTCAAAACAAACAGCAGACATTACCGACAAACAGCAATGAGAACAATCCCTCTCTGGTTGAAGACTTCCTTGATAACTTAAATGTTGTCAGCTTAGAAGCAAACAGAACTCCAAAAAGGAGCATATTTACCTGTCAAATATGTAATAGGACATTCTTTCACAAGGGAACACTGACACACCACATGAAGTCACACAAGACAAACTTCTGCAACATCTGTAAGCAGCATTTCCCCAAAAGAAAGAAGTTTAATTCCCACAGCTGTGTCCCTCCGGTTCCACATCAGACAATCAAGCCGTGCGAGTTATGTGGCAAGACCTTTCCCAACCAATCAGCTCTAAGGATTCATCATGTGGTTCACACAGGTGAGAAACCCTACAGGTGCAGCTTGTGCGGCAAAAGGTTTACACAGAAAGGCAATTTAAAATGTCATCTACGCATCCATACCGGTGAGAGACCTTTTCTGTGTGTTAAATGTGGCAAGGCCTTCACACAGAAAGTAAACCTTAATCATCATTTAATGGCTCACTTAAATCGAGAGATTGTTGAAGGTGGGTCATCTGAATCAAAACAACCCCAAACCTTGGCAACAGAAACCTATCGGTGAGTAGTCCTAAAGGCCGCTTCTGACTAAATTAGTGGAAAACATCATTTTATACTTTATACTCCAGCTCACATGTTCAAGGTCTGTAATGGTTTGAATTAATCTGTGGTATTGTGCTTGGTGTAAAAGGTGTTTTACCGATTTTAGTTTTTTTTCTATTCCTCTGTTTAATAAAACAAAACAATTAATACCAATGTGTTGATTTGTTTTATTCATAAAACTCAATTTCACTCATTAATCATCCTTTTAATAATAAAATCTAAGCTTCTAGAACCATAACTGGAACAGAAACAGTTCAGGAAAGCTTCACATTCAGAGAAAACTTCTATTGGGCATTAGACAGAGATAAGACAAAACTAAACCAGATTTTGTCCTAATGTTAACGCAACATTTTTTTCTTTTTAATTCAGAATTACCAAAGTATTCAAACAGTAACACATTTTTCAATAACAGCAGAACGCTTAAATATATGACCAAGACATAAACACTGTAAATGTCATATTCAAGAAAAAATATATACCAAGTCTTATTTTTAATTTCAATTAATTAAATATTGTACATGAAAAAGACGTTGAGAGGAACAATTTGGTTCACCTTTCTGTTCCAAGGAGGTAGATTTACAGGCTGGCCAGGACCATTTCCTAAGAATCATTAATTATATAACTTGTACAGTATAACAATACAGTATTTCCTGGAATATCATCTTGTGGTCTGAAATATTAGGAACAAACACATGCAAAAATAATTGTTCGTTTTTTTTTTTTTTTTTTACAGGCTCATGAGTCAAACTCAGGCCTGTCACAATAACCTAATTGGTTAATTGTGTTTAACCACTGTTGGTGTAGTCTATTGTGACCAAAGCCACTTTTAGCCATGTTTTGAGCTTTAATGTATTCGTTTAAATCAGTATTTATCCTCCATGGTGGGTGTTAATAAAGATATACTGTTGCATGTCGAGTCACTCTGAGCGTTACTTAGAGGGCCTGTATCAAACACCTCTGGTTTAACCATCCAGTTCAAACACTGATGATGATTTAGCCCATACTTATAAGCATAACATTTGCCACATCCTACACAGCTATAAGGCTTTTCCCCCGTGTGAGTTCGGAGATGAATATTCAAAGAGCTTTTCTGGGAAAAACTTTTGCCACAGTCTGGACAGCTGTAAGGTTTTTCACCAGAGTGCACCCTTTGGTGAAGTTTAAGGTATGTTTTTTGAGCAAATCGTTTCCCGCAAACCGAGCAACTGAAAGGCTTTTCACCGGAATGCCGTCTAATATGGACTTTTAAGCTGCTTAAATAGTTAAAGACTTTTCCACAGAATAAACAGTCAAACCGCTTTGTTGGCTTAACAGGTTTGGATGGAAAGGTGAGCTCTTTGGTTGTGTTCGTTTGGAGACAATTGCTGTAATCTGGTGGTTCCACAGACACTGAGGGAGGATTTGTGCTTTCCACGAGCCTGCTCATTGCTGCATCCTCTATTAATCTGTCCGCAATGGTGGGCTGTGAGCGCTGTAGCATTTGTCCCTCTGGCATCATGGGGAAATTATTCAAATCCCCCGAGTGAGGCTGCAGGTTATCAACTGATCTGTGAAGCATGTTGTCATCTTCAAACATCCCAACAACTGTAGAACGAAAACAAATCGGGTTAAACGGTCAGTGAGGGCTGTAAAGATCTCTGTGCCGTCTGCTTTCACTCCACTCTTACTTTTTCTGTTGTCTATATGACTCATCTGTTGACCAATCGGGTGATCGTCATATGTCTCTTCTTTCACGAAAATAAGATCAGGGTCCCTCGCCATCATGTCAGCTGCCTACCAACAGGATGAAAGAAAGAGCTAAAAATACATCACTCATTATTCAGCCATCATATGATCGAATAGCAAAAAATACAACAGAGCTGACCTCTGCTCCTAGGTTTGTCATAGCTGCCTCCATTGGCTGTCTTCTCTGAGGCTGAAGCTTGTCTTCTCTCCACAGGTCCATGCACCAATCTTTCCCAAATACTCCTTCGATGGCGGGAGCAGAATGGTGCTGATCTAGAAGAGAAATTGGAGACTTGATATAACACAAATATCTAAATAAATTATTGATTTTTATTTGTATATATATATATATATATATATATATATATATTTGTATACAAATATATATACATATATGTATACACATATGTATATATAGATATATACGTATATACGTGTATGTATATACATATACATATATACATACACGTATATACGTATATACATAAATATGTGTGTGTGTATATATATATATATATATAAATATATATAAATCAATAATTTATTCAGATATTTGTGTAATATCATATATATACATATATATGTATATATTTATTTATATGTATATATTTACTATATCGGTCTGCGCCAGGTGACGTCAATGTTTACCTCGGGCGCGGTGCATCGTGGGAAAACCACCATAATAGGTGGAAAGTCGAGATAACCCACACGCGGCTGTTCTTTCGGCACAATTATTTACCAGAAATGACACGATCGTGTTGTGTGAGAGGCTGCCAGTCCCGGTGTCGTGCCAAGGTAGTTATCCCTGCGAAAATTTGTATCCCCTCGTCGGGAGCGCGCACGGAGAAGGAAGATCAACCCGAGTTAACTCCGCTTCAATTCCAACGTGGAGAACTTGAAATTTGAAAGGTTTTACGTGTATGAAAGTTGAGCTTTACTGTTTTATTCTTTACTTCACATGTTATAGCAGAATATCGCCAGTGATATTGATCTAAAACTAATAATAAACACAAACGTTTGCTTGAAAGCTGGTCGCTGACAGCAATGTCTACTCCTCCCTCTGAAAGCAAACAGATCCTTGTTCTTTTCCACACGTTCATTAAAAAAATCTCTCATTGTTTCACAGTGTCCAAATGTTCTCATCCCATTGAAAACTGTTGTAAACCATATGCTTGTAATAAAAATGAAATAGAAAATGGAGTGCACGTGTAATCATTAAAGACTATATGCAGAAGGAAAATATTTTTTTCCTGGTTGAAATTTAGTACTTAAATCTATATCTGTGTTTATAGTAACGTACAATTTATCTATGTTGTACTATCCTTAATAAACAGTTTGTCTTCTAACATCAGCCATTTTATTTCATCCCATTTTGCCAGAACTGGCAATATGGGATGAAATAAAACCTGCTGTAATCTGTTCCCCCTGTCTAAATCAGGCAAAAAAGGCCCCAGCTTTTTCAATTTTGGCTTTTAAACATCTTTTATGATGACAATTTATTCCTGAAACTTTGGATGTGATTGACCTTTCTTTCTTAAAGTTATAAGGGGGAACAAATTATAGCAGGCCACCTGCTATTACCTGTTCCCCCTGTCTAAATCAGGCAAAAAAGGCCCCAGCTTTTTCAATTTTGGCTTTTAAACATCTTTTATGATGACAATTTATTCCTGAAACTTTGGATGTGATTGACCTTTCTTTCTTAAAGTTATAAGGGGGGAACAAATTATAGCAGGCCACCTGCTATAATCTGTTCCCCCTGTCTAAATCAGGCAAAAAAGGCCCCAGCTTTTTCAATTTTGGCTTAAAAATATCTTTTATGACGACAACTTAATCCTGAAACTTTGGATGTGATTGACCTTTATTTCTTAAAGTTATAGGGGGGAACAAATTATAGCAGGCCACCTGCTATAATCTGTTCCCCCAGTCTAAATCAGGCAAAAAAGGCCCCAGCTTTTTCATTTTTGGCTTAAAAATATCTTTTATGACGACAACTTAATCCTGAAACTTTGGATGTGATTGACCTTTCTTTCTTAAAGTTATAAGGGGGGAACAAATTATAGCAGGCCACCTGCTATAATCTGTTCCCCCAGTCTAAATCAGGCAAAAAAGGCCCCAGCTTTTTCATTTTTGGCTTAAAAATATCTTTTATGACGACAACTTAATCCTGAAACTTTGGATGTGATTGACCTTTATTTCTTAAAGTTATAGGGGGGAACAAATTATAGCAGGCCACCTGCTATAATCTGTTCCCCCTGTCTAAATCAGGCAAAAAAGGCCCCAGCTTTTTCATTTTTGGCTTATAAGCATCTTTTATGATGACAACTAACTCCTGAAACTTTGGAGTTGATTCATTTTTGGCTTATTAGCATCTTTTATGATGCAAAAAAATGAAAAAGCTGGGACCTTTTTGGCCTGATTTAGACAGGGGGAACAGATTACAGCAGGTGGCCTGCTATAATTTGTTCCCCCCTTATAACTTTAAGAAATAAAGGTCCATCACATCCAAAGTTTCAGGAATAAATTGTCATCATAAAAGATGCTTATAAGCCAAAAATGAAAAAGCTGGGGCCTTTTTTGCCTGATTTAGACAGGGGGAACAGATTACAGCAGGTTTTATTTCATCCCATATTGCCAATTGTGGCAAAATGGGATGAAATAAAACGGCTGATGTTAGAAGAGAAACTGTTTATTAAGGATAGTACAACATAGATAAATTGTACGTTACTATAAACACAAATATAGATTTAAGTACTAAATTTCAACCAGGAAAAAATTATTTTCCTTCTGCATATAGTCTTTAATGATTACACGTGCACTCCATTTTCTATTTCATTTTTATTACAAGTATATGGTTTACAACAGTTTTCAATGGGATGAGAACATTTGGACACTGTGAAACAATGAGAGATTTTTTTTAATGAACGTGTGGAAAAGAACAAGGATCTGTTTGCTTTCAGAGGGAGGAGTAGACACTGCTGTCAGCGACCAGCTTTCAAGCAAACGTTTGTGTTTTATAATCAGTTTTAAATCAATATCACTGGCGATATTCTGCTACAACACGTGAAGTAAAGAATAAAACAGTAAAGCTCAACTTTCATACACGTAAAACCTTTCAAATTTCAAATTCTGCACGTTGGAATTTAGGCGGAGTTAACTCGGGTTGTTCTTCCTACTCCGTGCGCGCTCCCGACGAGGGGATACAAATTTTCGCAGGGATAACTACCTTGGCACGACACCTGTCCGGTAATTTCGCATTCTGCTTACTTTTTTCCATATAGTCAGAGAAACAAACTCAATCCTTTAGTCCTTCGTTTAGCTATGCTGCGGTTGTTTACACTACGCCTTTTCCACCAAAAATGGCGTCTTAGCAACAAATGTCACGTGACTGGCGGAGACCGATATTTGATATATATATATGTATATATATATATATATATATATATATATATATATATATATATATATATATATAATTTCAAGTATCAGTAATGATAATACCATAAGCCTATAGGGTACACTGTGCAGCAAAGATAGAGCCTATGTGTCAGCGTGAAGGATCCGTAAATGAAGTGACTGACCTGAAAGTTGCCTGACATTGCTGTTGACATGTACAGGGTAGGTCTGCCCCTCTCTGGCTGCTCTCAGTTGGACCTCCAGAGAGTAGCACCTCTTCTTCAGCGCCTCGTTCTCCGTTTTATGCAGAGATATCTCAGTGTGAAGGACGGAGGAGCATTCGTCAGCCAGGCTGCTGATCTCGGCCAAAGCCGCCTTTGTTAGCTTGTCCAGGATCACGGCCAGCTGGGTCCGAAAACTCCTGTTAGCGTTGTCGCACATCATCTCGCTAAAGTAGCCCAGTATCTCTGAATTCGGTACGAATTAGCCCCCCCTCCCCGAACTAACGTTGCTTCTATAATCAAATATGTGATACAGCTGTACCGCAAAGGATTATGGGAAATCTATAGGCGAACGCCTCAGAATGTATACTGTATGTAAAGGGGGCAGTGGGAATGATTGCCTCAACTTGATTTTTATGGGGTTCGTTTATGATATCTGGATCGAAATTTCTATAAGAAAGATAGTTTCTGAAAACATTACTAAAATGTACTTTATAGAAGAATTGTATTATAATAAGAAAGGTATTTTTTCTGTAGCTTAAAAGTCACTGTTAAAAAAAATCCCCACTGGTTACATTTTGTACCACTAGCTTTTAAAAGCAGCTGAGATTCAACGTCTTTTTTTCTAATTTTGTACTTCTTTGCATTTATGCATTCAAACTTATACAATATAAGTACATAACCAATTTGGTCTAATGCAAAACATTACTACAATAACAGGGGTTAAAGTTATTATATATGATAAAAATACATATGATGGCTGTTGTAACTGATTTTAAACTATTCTTGGAAGTTATTTCCATCTAGTGGTGATTATTAGGATATGCAACACAAATAAAATTTCCCCAAGTGCGCTTTGTATGCAGTGTAACTTTGAAAACACCAGCCAAACATCGCCTGATGCTGAGGTTTTACTATCTCCTGCAGTCCATAGGTAGCAATGCCACATTGGTTTCAATTAAATTAATTACAATTTTAAATCCACTGATATACAAATAATGCAAAACCCAGGATTCCAGAATATCTTTAAGTTTATTTTCTCTTGGTTTGAGTGGGTATATATGACAATTTGAGGATAAACTAAAATTTACATTTAAAATATGAAAAAACAAACAAACTCTGTTATCTTATTTTAAGCATAATGCATAATCTGTAATGTAAGTTTAAAAAATCTCCTTTCACTGACAGATCATCTTATTTTCTTGCTCGGATTAGGAACAAATAGTTATTTTAAATTTTTTTTTGATATTTTCAGGTAATTTTTGCAGTCCAAGATGTTTGTCAATAAACACAGAAATTGAAAATGCAGCTAAATCTACAAACCCCACTGAATAGAACCTCATCATAGATATTTTTACAAATTGTGAACGTTTGGCCTTATGTTTGCTTTTATATAAAATGTTTAATAGACAAAATGTAACTTTTGTGCTGCAGTTGTCATAAAAAAGACATGGGTTAAATAGATGTCATGAGGGAGTCGATCATTACAGTAAATCAATAACTATTTTAAATATTTTTTTTTTTGTCTACTTTAATCAAAGACTTGAATTTTAAAGGATTCCTTGGTGCCTATATATATATATATATATATATATTTATTTATTTATTTTTTTTTTTTTCAGATAAAGTGAGAAGCATTCCTTGGTGCCTATATATATATATATATATATATATATATATATATATATATATATATATATATATATATATATATATATATATATATATATATTCAGATATAGTGAGAAGCACTTGCATAGAAATAATTCATAAATTACATTAAAGAACATGATAGCCCCATATCACCTCTAAGACTTATAACTTTGTGCACATATTAGCTAATGCTGAACCTTATAGTACACACAAGCACTAAATGAAAGATTTTTACCCTTATTGATCATACAAAAGCACAGTTTTCTCACCCCGCAAATTCTTAATTACATTCCAACCAATGTTTTATAGTTTGTTCATAGCCATTAACACAACAGATCTTCTGACAGTTTGGTTGCCTACATGCAGTGTTTATTTTCTTTATCAGATCAAAGCATAAAAAAAATGTATAAATTTTCCCCATGATGAATCACTCAAAGTCGATCCTGTTGCTTAATCATGCATTAACTAAATGCATTTAGGTTTATTTTACACAGGAACCATTCCTTGCTGGATGTAGGGTTGTACAGCTGTATTTCAGGAGGCACTGGTTTTACGAGACCAGAGCTGTGTCCGAACGTCTACACTAATCACTACATAGTGCACTATATAGTGCTTACTCCATATTAGATGAGTGTCCGAACCACTGATCTCCATTTATTCACTGGATTGCTGATTGGTAGTACAGGATTGAAGTGAAGCCACTGGCCACCATATTGGTACTCCCTAGTTATAATGGCTGCAATGTAAACATGTGCGCTAGAGCACCGAGCAATGATGATTTTCTCATTTTCAGGGAGGTTTAAGAGTTTTAAAATAAAGATAAATTCATCGCTTTGACACAAACGTATCATGGAATTTTTTATGGAGATCAGAGACCAAAGATGGTGCAGGCACCATGCCGGTAGGCGGAGTTACATGAGCAACAGTGAGTAGTGATAATCTGTCCAAATGGGGAATTAACTGAGTTCACTATAAAGTCCACTATAACAGTCCCCGCTCTATATAGTGATTGAGGGATTTAGGGGTTAAGGCGCACGTTCGGGCACAGCCTAACTACATGTTTATTTGCTTATTGTAGCAACGTTAGTTTTACAGAGACATACTCATATTTTAAGCAAAGCAAACTTTATTTTCCAGTAGCTGTTAAAGCCCAGATGAAGAAAGGAAATACATCTTGATATTTGGCATTCTATGTGGCTTCGTGAACATTTTTTCCACTAAATAACTCACCCCCATAAATGTTCAGGCCATGATCTTGGTGCACAGCTAGATGTTTTTTCAGATTACAGTTCTTTGTGAATCCTTTGCCACAGCTGACACAAACAAAAGGTTTTTCCCCCGTGTGTGTGCGCTGGTGCATGTCAAGAGTGCATTTCTGAATAAAACCCTTGCCACAAATAGTGCATCGATAGGGCTTTTCCCCAGTGTGTGTGCGCTGGTGTGTGTACAGGTGACCTTTCTGAGCATATCGCTTTCCACACAGTGTGCATCTAAATGGCTTTTCGCCTGTGTGACTTCTTTGGTGTATTTCAAGCTGACTGAAGCATCTGAAACCTTTCCCACACTGCATGCAGCAAAACCTCTTAGCAGAGGAGTTTCTAAAGCTATAAAGCTTCACATTCCTGGGTGCACTTAAGTTTTGGGAGGAAACATTTTGAGTCACATGTTTCCCATCCTGTAGGGTTGCATTTGCAGGTGATAGCTGTTGGTTCCACTGCATTTCCTGTCTCCTGGAGTCAGAACCACGCTGCTGGGCACCTAAACTCATTGCATTATTGGTGAAAAGAGGCTGCTGGGTTCCTGCAGTGGTTTTAGGATGCTGTATCCCATATGGATCCTTTCGGGTATCAATGAGTGTGTCCTTTCCTGTTGAAGGCAATGAAAAAATAAAAAGTCTAAATGACTGGGGATTGAAAAAAAAAAAGAAAAAAGAGGAAATTAAAAACTTACTTGCTTCAATTGTTCCGTCTTGTTCAGGGATATTGTCATCCACCTCTACTGGTTCTTCTTTCACCACTATCAGTTCGGACAATTCGTTTGGTGGGTTTGGAGGCTGAAGTACATAGTAGAAAACAGTAATTACGCTTGGTTCCAAGGTTCTACAGAAAATGTTTTCCACATATATTCTACCTTTTATCCTACACAGTTTAAGTAAAAAACAAAAATACATCTGATGGCTCTGGACTCTGAATAAACCCTAATCCCTGATCATGATGCTGCACCCACCCGAGAAATTTTCAACAAAACTTGATAGATAGATAGATAGATAGATAGATAGATAGATAGATAGATAGATAGATAGATAGATAGATAGATAGATAGATAGATAGATAGATACACTATATTGCCAAAAGTATTTGCTCACCTGCCTTGACTCACATATGAGCTTAAGTGACATCCCGTTCCTAATCCATAGGGTTCAATATGACGTCGGTCCACCCTTTGCAGCTAGAACAGCTTCAACTCTTCTGGGAAGGCTGTCCACAAGGTTTAGGAGTGTGTTTATGGGAATTTTTGACCATTCTTCCAGAAGCGCATTTGTGAGGTCGCACACTGATGTTGGACGAGAAGGCCTGGCTCTCAGTCTCCGCTCTAATTCATCCCAAAGGTGTTCTATCGGGTTGAGGTCAGGACTCTGTGCAGGCCAGTCAAGTTCATCCACACCAGACTCTGTCATCCATGTCTTTATGGACCTTGCTTTGTGCACTGGTGCACAGTCATGTTGGAAGAGGAAGGGGCCAGCTCCAAACTGTTCCCACAAAGTTGGGAGCATGGAATTGTCCAAAATGTCTTGGTATGCTGAAGCATTCAGAGTTCCTTTCACTGGAACTAAGGGGCCAAGCCCAGCTCCTGAAAAACAACCCCACACCATAATCCCCCCTCCACCAAACTTTACACTTGGCACAATGCAGTCAGACAAGTACCGTTCTCCTGGCAACCGCCAAACCCAGACCCGTCCATCAGATTGCCAGATGGAGAAGCGCGATTCGTCACTCCAGAGAACGCGTCTCCACTGCTCTAGAGTCCAGTGGCGGCGTGCTTTACACCACCGCATCCGACGCTTTGCATTGCACTTGGTGATGTATGGCTTGGATGCAGCTGCTCGACCATGGAAACCCATTCCATGAAGCTCTCTGCGCACTGTTCTTGAGCTAATCTGAAGGCCACATGAAGTTTGGAGGTCTGTAGTGATTGACTCTGCAGAAAGTTGGCGACCTCTTCGCACTATGCGCGTCAGCATCCGCTGACCCCGCTCCGTCAGTTTACGTGGCCTACCACTTCGTGGCTGAGTTGCTGTCGTTCCCAAACACTTCCATTTTCTTATAATACAGCTGACAGTTGACTGTGGAATATTTAGGAGCGAGGAAATTTCACGACTGGATTTGTTGCACAGGTGGCATCCTATCACAGTTCCACGCTGGAATTCACTGAGCTCCTGAGAGCGACCCATTCTTTCACAAATGTTTGTAAAAACAGTCTGCATGCCTAGGTGCTTGAATTTATACACCTGTGGCCATGGAAGTGATTGGAACACCTGATTCCAATAATTTGGATGGGTGAGCAAATACTTTTGGCAATATAGTGTAGATATTAAAATCCTCAGTCAGGACAGAAAGACTGATGTGAAAGTTTCTTAGGGGAGAATACCTTTCCTTTGTCACAGTGTAGCTGTAACAAGGTGGAAATTTGAAACCAATAAAAAATGTGCTTCAACAAGGTTTCAGTTGAACAGTGTTAACATTTATAAAATTAAGTGATTTTCTTACTTATCTGTCTACTGCATATCTTTCATAGATGACTTATTACAGATAAATGTCAAACTATAAGTGGTTAAGTTTTGGAACCACTGTTTCAGTCAAACATCATATTTGGATACTTACTTCAGTTGAAGCATCCTCCTCACTTTGATGGAAACCTTTCATCTCAGTTGAGGATCTTATGTTTTCCCACGTAGTTCCAACACTAATGAGTCCAATTAAAATTAAATAAAACATATATCACAGATCAAGACAAAAATCATAAAATAATGGGATACAATGATTCTGCGGGCAGAACCGGGCGCTTAATCTACCTACTTTGAGTTGTCTGAAGCAAAATATGCCTTATTTTCTGACGGCTCTCTGATCTCTGAGCATGCTGCTGCCGCCGCCGCCGCTGCTGCGTCCTGCCTGCGCTCCTGAGCCATGTACAGCAACTTCTCCATCAGCTGCAGCTTCTCTGTGAGTGAGGCGATTTCATTTCTCCCTCTTGTAATTTCTATTTTCAACATCTTGGATTCGATCTCCACCAGTTTGCTGATTTCCATCACAGCTGTTTTGGATAATGCGTCCATGATGGAGACGAGCTGCGTCTGGAAGGAGAAGGCTGTGGACATGTTGCTCGTTGTTCTTACGTGACGAGTGCAATTCACGAAGGCGAGTTGCCACTCTCAGGATTCCTTCCAGTTGACCACAACAAATGTACTTTAAACCGTGTTGGGCTAGGGACACAGTACAGGCTTGTACTTCCACTTAAAACTCAAGTCGTTGAAGTGCGACCCTTAGCTCCGTCTAGCGGTGAGGCGGACACATAGCAGTCATACAAAACGCAAATACTTAGCTGAAATATTTGTATATATTAGGCTACTTGATAGGTGACAGCATTATCTAAATGTGGTAAGTTCTAACTAAAGGTCATTTTTGCTTTATTTTATCAGCATCTGGTAGCTACTTTATCGGGACTTCATTGCCCAGAATGCATTGCGGTATTGCGAAAGATGTGATTGGCTAATGAGACGTCGTTTCAGGAACTAGTGCGTGGAATTAAACTCTTTTTTCCGACTGAAAACCTGCTTGACCGTCTGCTGTTTTGATTTTTTTTTAATAAAAGGTATTTAAAGTTATTTGCCTCTATGATCGAAAATAAATGTTGCGGTTGTTTATGGTTTCAGATACTAACAATCGTCCATGTAATAAAATACAATGTGGCAGTTTTCATGACCTGCCTCTCTACCGAAGGAAGGTTAAAGTAATTTACTTAGTGTAGTCTTTAATGTTTATTTAGCCATGGTTTTAGCCTTATCTTTTAAAGAAAATTATTTTCTAATCTACAACAATACCCCCTTATGTGCATTTGCATATAGTTGCAAAACTGTGTTATAGATGACCTCATTTTGTTTTGTTCATTTGTTTGTTTTTTATTTGCAGTGTTTTAATGGCTGGAAGAAGAGTTGTTGTCTTTCCCTCCTCAGCTGAGCTGGGTCCAGCATTGGCTCACCTGGTCACGTCACGAGCTGAGAAGTCCATTGCTTCCAATGGCAGGTTCACCCTGGGTCTCTCAGGAGGGAGCCTTGTGTCCATGCTCAGCAAAGAGCTGCTTGCTCTGCCCCAGCTGGACTGTAGCAAATGGGTGGTTGGTTTCTGTGATGAGCGGCTGGTTTCTTTCACTGATCCAGAAAGCACATACGGCCTTTACAAGGTTAAATGAGTGGTTAATGAGTTAAAATAAATCTTCCTATGGCATTTGCTTTATTTCAAGACCTTTTTTTTTTTCTTTTTCAGAGTCAGTTGTTTTCCAAAATCAACATTCCTGACAGTGGAATCTTGACCATTGACTCCTCTCTGCCAGTGGATAAGTGTGCAGAGGATTACACATGCAAATTGAAAGAGGTCCAAATCAATTCAAAGCTTTAACATTTTGGTGCTTTAGTAATTCTTTGAAGGGCATTACTTATTTCCATTTAAAATCACAGGCCTTCCCAGGAGATGACTTCCCTGTGTTTGACCTGTTACTGCTGGGTATGGGACCAGATGGACACACTTGTTCTCTTTTTCCAGACCATCCCCTTCTAGAGGTGAGGGCTGGTTTGACACCAGAGATTTTTGTTGTAAAATGTATTTCTTTGTATTTGTTGTTTATGGGGTATGGACTGCTGGTTACAAATCTCAAACTGAACCTCATTTTTCATATATTTCTTCATAGGAATCAAACTGTCTTTTAGTCTTTTTTATAACCCTAGGGCTTAATTTCTCGAGGCTTTATTAAGTTCCTTTTAATGCCTTTTTTTTATAATTCCTGTAATTTCGGTAATTATTTGTCTAGTATCTTATACAGTGTAAAAGTAGAGTGTGAACGAAAAGATGATGCAACTCGCACATCCTGCCTTGATTACAGACTGACTTCTTTAAATTGAAGTTTAATTAGTAGTGGTTTAGAGCTATTGCTCTGTACTTTGTGAATGCTTTTAACATACATTTAAAGTATTTGTAGATCATCAGCATCTTTTCCACAGATGTGCTGTGGAAATTTGCTCCTAGAACCACTGTTCCTATCTTCTAACTGTTCTCGGTGTTGGGGTTAAATTTGGGAAATTATACTGATGAACTAAAGTGACTAAAAATTAAAGCCACCACTAAAACTGATGACACTTCTCACTTTCAACAGAAGTGAAATGCTTTACATGAAACACTTTTCAGTAAAACTGAAAGGAATACATGTTTTTCACAAATTTTTTTTAATTGCCAGAAAAATATGAAGGTTGAAATAATTAAGCCAGGAATAACGAAAATTAAAAGCTGTTAGAACATAATTTGTAGTAAATATATTTAGTCAGATTGATGTATATTTATTTTACAGTAGTATCTCTTTTTGTATTCAATCTGTAGGAAAAACAGAAGATTGTGGCTCCCATCAGTGACTCTCCAAAACCACCACCACAGCGCGTCACTATGACTCTCCCTGTAGTGAACTCTGCACGCTGTGTGGCCTTTGTCTCAACAGGTGGAAGTAAAGCTGCTGTTTTGAAGGTGATGTTCAAGAATAGTTCTTAAATATGTAGATTTAAGCATCAGTCATTAACCAGGCTTTTATTGGATATAAGTATAATTTCTGATATATGTGCCATTATTAAAAGCCAATGCATTTACTTTGTTACATAAAAATGCCTTGTCTGATATAATAAATCAAATAACACTTGGGATAGCTTTCTGACATATACTATCTCTCTGCCTATAACCAAATACAATTTAGGTTTCTGACACAGTAAATTAACAGTACTCCTGAAAAGTAGTAATAAATGCATTGGACAGGTTGTAACACTTATTTTTGTAATCATGCTGTTGGATTTTGTTGCAGGATGTTCTGGAGGGTGGAAAAGCTCCAGCGTACCCAGCAGCTCGTGTCCTCCCAACCAGTGGTGAACTGTTTTGGCTCATTGATGAACCTGCTGCTACTGCCTTGACTATCCAAGTTGAAAGGCTGGGTGCAGAAGCCAAACTTTAAAGCTCCTGGTCTGATGATGAATTAGGATACCAACACTGTTTATAAGGAAGTACTGCATTGGTGACATGTTGCACTAGGATGCATAGATAAATAAAAAAAATATGCTTTTGTAACTTAGTACTTTCAGTGTGTGTATAAATGTAATTTGCATTGGGATGTCTAACCTAATCTTACTTAAGAACACCAATTAAAATACAACCCATTTCTTACTGTTATTATTTTGAATGCATAAATACATTTTAAGTGTCTTACACTTAAATTATATCAAAGCATAATTTGATTAACCTGCTAGCATAACTGTAGAAATGCTTTCGTTAATGCCTATTTTGTCTTTTTTCGTTCAGTGTTTCTCTATCTGTTTAAAGTCGTGGGGAAGCGGCTGTTCGTACGGTTACAGTTCCGAATTCTCCCGAGTGGTGCACGACTTTACAGGAGTGAATTAGGTGAATGTGATTGGTCGATTATCAAGGGGGCGGGATTTTTGTGGCAAAAGTGTTGCAAGCAAATCGGTTGTGGCCGGTTTGTCGGAAGCATCTTGCTAACCAGTTAGCAACATAGCGCTAGTAGGTTCCCAATGGGAAATTACATTGGGACCAAGTAGCACTTAAAGGGGAACGCCGTTTTTTTTTTTTTTTTTACATTGGGCCCTTGATTTTACGTTATAACATCATGTTCTACTCACCCGTTTAAGTTTTGTGTCATTTGGAGCCGTTCTGAAGATATTCTGTTTGGTTATATCCAGGTAACGTCTTCCTATGGGCAAAGACTTGAAAGCACAAACTAAACTGTTCATAATTTATTCTTTATGGTACGCCAGCATTCATAACATGTAGGCGAATCCCTGTCCCCCAGACATCCGTGGTTATATTTTTTATATTTATATGTTTTTAAAACAAAGTGAGGCCTGTATAACGTCGTCTGCGTATGCGGACTGGAGTCGTAACAGGAAGCCCGGGCCACAGGCGGCTACGCTCTACCCCTTCTATTCATTCAGCTAGCTAATCTGAATCGTTCAATTCCATTTGGTGAGCGATATCATCTGTGGTAGTAGCACTAGACATCTTTCAGGCATGTGAGTAAAACTAGCTGCAGTTCAGCGGACAGGAAGAATGAATGGTAGCCGGCGTGCACGGATGACGTCAGACACGCGCCGCTTCGTTTTTAAAAGATATAAATATAAAAACAGTGATTCGCCTACATGTTATGAATGCTGGCGTACCATAACAAATAAATTATGAACAGTTTAGTTTGTGCCTTCAAGTCGATCGCCCATAGGAGGACGTTACTTGGATATAACCTAACAGAATATCTTCAGAACAGCTCCAAATGACACAAGACTCATATGGGTGAGTAGAACATTATGTAATAACGTAAAATCAAGGGCCAAATGTAAAGAAACCGGCGTTCCCCTTTAACAACGACACTGTCAAGGAACGCCATGGACAGCGGATACATGCAGGAGGAGGAGAGTTTGTGTCGGTGGTCATGGATGAGTCTCCTCAATCATACATTTTTTATTTAGAGAAGTAAAGCTGAGACGAAGATGTTATGGAAGAGGACGCCAGGGCGGCAGAAGCTAGGTTTGGTGTAGAAGGCTTACAGCCGTACATGTTTGAGCCCTTGCCTCGCAACACTGCCAGTTCTGTTAGCTCTACGCCTGCTGAAGACACAGACGTCCATCCCCGTGAACACTGGGACGGAACTCAATGGTAAATAATTATTTCATCTGTTGCGTATATTAGCTGCGACATATGATTCAAGATGCTATGACCGAAAAAATTAGATTGACAGATGACAGTTGATATATGATTGGCCGAATTTAGGTGTTCAAGCTGACGTATAACTAACTGCATAAGATAACAGAAAAAAACACACATTTTAAGACAGGATTTTTTTTTTTTATAAAGAAATTTTCTAACTTTAACTATATGGTCTGATAAAGAGTACATTATATACATGTTTAAGCTAGAGTGATTGGAAATTTAAATATGATTGCAAAACATCTTCAGATATTTTCCGTTGCATCTAACAGACCAAACTAGCATGTTGCTGCCCTAATGGTGATTGCCTAAAGTGATGCAAAAAGTTATCTACCAAAAAAAAAAAAAAAAAAAGTCGGTGATGTGTTTGTTTCCCCTTTAAGATCAGGCCACATCCCACTTTAAAGCTCAACATCAGGATCTTCTGCACAGACTCTGCTTTATTTGGAATGGGTGCGAAACATCAATTGATCCTTCTTTATAATTTCCAAAGAGCGCAGTAAAAGATCAAATAACACGCCGGTTGTTTTTGCAATGAACGGGGTTGCCTTCCTCGCCGTGGTGCTCCTCCTGCTCCTCACCTCCTGCTCCTCTGTTCGGGGGTACTTTGCTGAGGAGCGCTGGAGCCCCGAGTCTCCGCTTCTGGCCCCTCGGGTTCTTCTTGCGCTCATCTGCAGAAACTCTGAGCACTCTTTGCCCTATTTTTTAGGAACTATAGAGCGGCTTCGGTATCCCAAGGACCGTATGGCTCTCTGGTAAGTTGTTATATAAAAAAGGGTTAGATCAGGATAAATATGTCTGCAAATTGGGAAAGAAAAAGGGGGAAGACTTGCATCAGTGGGGTTTATGGAAGCATTATCAGAATATGTCGCGCAGTTACAGGATTGAACTAAACTGCCTGCGTTTCAGTGTGCACCATCAATAAGATTATCTATCCTTTTTTTTCTTTTAAAACGCGCATTAATGCGACCTTAAAGGAATAGATCAGTCAAAATGGACACACCTGATCAGGCTTCATTTGCGAAACTTTGATTTGTAAACGTGGAGGGGAGGGGACGAGATGATTTTGGCCACGAGGGGAGCTGTTTGATTTGGTTTTTCAAATCCAAACTTTATTTCTGCACTCCACTTCCCTATAAGTTAATATCTAAAGCCAAACTCTCAAAGAGCCTCATAGGCATACATGCATGTGACCAATTACTATACTTTATTTTTTATGAAAAATTTAAAATAAAATTTAGCACATCTAAAATATATATGTTTATCTATGTAAAATAATTTTGTAAATTCTACATGATGATGTAGCCATTCTATTACATTGATGCATATCTTCAAGCCATTTTTAAAGGTATTTCACTCTACACCATCCAGTTATTTGAGGGAAGCACATCTTTCAAAATTAACTTAGATATTGCAAACTCACATTCAAGGTCATTAAACATCTGTCTGCCATTCTTGGTGGGAATAAGGAGGGGGGTGCTCATATAAAACCAAGTAAATAACATGTTTTAACAGCCCACCCAGGCTCATCGTTTCAGTGGCTCATCTTTGCAGATAACCCTGGAGATTCAGTGTGCTGTTCTATTCCTATCCAGTTTCTCAACTTCTTTTTTTTTTTTTTTTGCAGAGGGGTAAGATTTGCTGAAGATGTAAAACTTTGGCATAAAGAATGTTTGATTGTTTAGTTTTAGATGCTTTGCAATCAGTTTGTGATGTAAACATTACATGTTCTTTCCATTTGGCCAAATGCAGCTGCTTGAATCTGAGCCAAAAAACTCCAAACCAACTCAGAATAATAACTCATAAAACTGTCATGTAAATCTTGACTGTGTGTGATATCAGTAAAAAATAGACTAGATAAAAGAAGTACAATCTATGTGAATTTGTGTACATTGGCATGAGTACATTAGCATCACAAGTAATAGTTTTGGGTGTTTTTTTTATTTTCCCTGTCCTATTTTCTTTTTTTTTTTTTTTTGCTAAATTTGTTTAATCTGTTTATTAACAGGAAACAGCTGAAGTACTTGCTTGAAAATTTGAAGACTGTTTTCTTCAGCTCAGATAGCATTGACAAGAAAGTGCAGAAATCTCAGATTCACAATAAGTCCTTTTTGGAATATCTATCATGGCTTTTTTCCTTTTCTTTTGTCATTTTTCTTTAATATGCCCTAAATGAACTATGTAGGAACAAGGTCCCCCATAATGACATGAAACGTTTTTAACAAAGTATGCTCATTTGTCTAAACTGAATTACATTTTCAAAGTCGTGTTAGTTTGGCATCAAAGTTACAATTACTTGTAATCTGGTCACATCATACGTATATATTTTAACAATGTCTCTCTTTTTAATATAAAGGCTAAATTTGTGCTGTGCACAACCAAGGGTTTTCCTATTGAGAGAGTCTTAAATAATTACTCTATATAGTCTCACCATTGTCTATAAGCTCAATTCCTTAATACTGTGAATTAAAAGGGTAATGCTGGATTTTTCTTGGGTTATTAAAGGATTAACAAGCTACCACTATTAGACTGGCTGTGGGAGATATATGGGATTGATCACTGCAGATGTTTAATGTTTAATTTTTTTGTTTTGTTTTTGGTAATATATGTGGTTAGGTGCAATATGTTTTGGCATTATCAACATTTTTTTATTTTATTGTTTTGCATTTACAGCGGTGTCCATGTGCAATATATTTAATGTATATTTATTTTATTGTATTTAATTATTAGAGATGCACCAATCCAGTTTTTTTTTCCAATCCGACATTGGCACCAAGTCTGGTTCTGTCAGCCGATAACAATCTAATAATACTGTGGAATGAATGAACCATATACCTTACAATGTGAATTAAGGCATCAGATTGGGGGAAAAAAGGATCCTCTAATATCTGATTCAGCTAAATAGTCAATATTCGGGTATTGGTGCATCTCTAATCTGTCTGTCTCTCTGCCTTTCCAAATTAAATCACTTCTTTTAAAGTCATATGTAATTTTTCTCCTACTTGACAGTTTGGAACTGCCTAGTGTCAGTCTGTCATACAGTTCCAATAAGATACCTACAACATCTTAGATACATTAATCTTACCAACAATGGTTAATCTCAGATTTTTTAAATCTTTTGCTTCAATTCTAAGGTTTTACAGACAAAGTCTCACTTCTCCATTGTGTCTTTTGTATGCTTTTTATATTTCTATTAGAAAACCTTCCTTAAAACTGCTTATCTATAACAATATCGTCTCAGTTGACTGTTTTTTGTTGCACGACGGTGGGATTACAGACATTTGTGTCAGTTCCCACAGCTACATACAAAGGGATTACAAAATGTGAACACAGGGCCATTGTTATTTGAGTCAAGGTTTTTTCTTTCAAACTAGTCTCTAGTTGAACTCAGTCTGGCAACACTTCTGCAATAAATCATCATAAAACTTTTTTTCACCTGTTCCTGTTCTTGGTCCAATGTGCTGATACTCCTGCATATTTACAGGGTAGCAACAGATCACAATGAGGACAATACCACAACAATTCTGCGTGAGTGGCTTTTAAAGGTGCAGAGCTTTTACCATTATGTAGAGTGGAGGCCAAAAGAAGAACCCAGGTTAGTTAAACTTCTGATATAATTTGATGTCACCTAACACAAAGCCAGAGTAAACTAACAAATTATAGAAAAATATCAACTAATAACTTTAGGATGTCTTTCTAAGTCATTACAAGGATGAAGATGGTCCAAAACACTGGACAGACCTCCGTTATGAGCATATTATGAAGCTCCGGCAAGGAGCATTGGAGTCCGCTCGTGAGATGTGGGCAGACTACTTGATGGTAGGTCAAAGCACTGCTGTATGGATAGATATTGGCACACATTATGACAAGAGCAGTTTCCATTATTTAGCCCTGAGCTAACTTTTAACCCACTTTTAACCTATAGCAGGAGCCAGTAGATTGTGGTAAAATGATGACACATTACAATTACAGTTGTAATATACCAGGAGCATATGGTGCTAGGTTTGACTCCCTTTGTCACTCCTAAGGTCTAAATCACAATATAATTCATCTGTATAATTCATTCTCTCCTGCTTAGCCCACATTGTTTTGCTTTACTGGTGTATAATTCCGAGGTTTCATAGATTTAAATTTGCAGTAATTATGTCTCCTTTGTTTTGCTTTTGAGTTTCTTCTGATAATAGAAAAATAAATATATGGAAAATGTATTCTAACTAAACCAAAAAAAGAAGTTATTAAACCCCATTTAGGATTAACATCCACACTTGTTTTTTTTTATTTTAATTTTTTTATTTTTTTATTTCTTTTTTTATTATTATTATTATTATAACTTTTTTATATATATATATATATATATATATATATATATATATATATATATATATATATATATATATATATATATATATATATATATATATGTATGGCAGTACAACAATCACAGAAGCTGATCTTGGAGTAGGCAGTGGGATCGGGCTATATAATCTGATCACTCCACTAAGATATTTTATTTTTAGGTAATATAGGTAATTAAATATTTGATTTTCATATTTTGTACTTGCAGTCTTCACCACCTAAAAACCTCTTTATATTCACTTCTAGCCCGTAATAAGTCAGTCAAGCTATCACTGGGGATTCCCAGTGTGACAGCCCACCTGTATGTGGGGTCTGCTTTAAAGGTAGATTATAATCCTGATGAATTGACCACTTGGATGACGTTTTGAGGTATACTTTCTTTTATTTTATTTTCCCACTCATCTTTTTTCAAGCCAGCATCTCATTTGTATCCGCAAAGGTCAATGCATCTTTATACTTTGCTTGATGCATGTCAAGAGTGTTAGAATAAGCTTGTGTGTGATTTACATTTTTTCTGGTGTAACTGGAGAGAACAAACTGTACAGACAAAACAGTTTTCTCCCTTATTTTTTATTATCATACCTTTGGTCTTCTTTTATTTTTGTTTTTTTGTTAAATCACCAGACAGTTTTATAATGTTGTACAATCCAGGCTTTAACAGTCAAGGTGCTGCAAAAAAAAAAAAAAAAAAAATTGTCAAATTCCAAATCTCATTTTGTTGAAATACATTCGAAGGATATCAAGATGGTTAAATTAGATAGCAGATAGAACAATGCTCAATGATTTCAAATCATACTATAAAACATTATTAGACATAATTCCTTGCAATGATTCTAGAAAGTAATAGTTTTTTTGAACTCTTGCTGCTTAATGTGAATGCACAAGCAACTGATTATGGTCTGTATTTAGTTTATAGATTTGACTTTATAAACATATATTTCATTTTTCTGTCTATTCTGTGCAGTTTGTGGATTGTGATAACCTTCTTACCGATCGAGATGTACTCTGGAAGCTGATGAAAGAAAACAAGACAATAATAGCCCCGATGCTTGAATCCCGTGGCGCCTATTCAAACTTTTGGTGTGGAATGACCTCAGAGGTAATATTATGATAACAGGCTTTACCTGATCTGATTTACGTAACATAACATTATGTTAATAAACCTTCCCTCATTAGGGTTACTATAGACGGACCCCTGCCTACATACCTATCAGGAAGCAAGTCCGTAAAGGTTGTTTTGCAGTTCCAATGGTTCATTCCACATTCATCATAGACCTCAGGAAAGAGGCATCCAGGCAGCTAGCCTTTCATCCACCACATCCAGAATACAGCTGGGCATTTGATGACATCATTGTGTTTGCGTATTCTGCTCAGATGGCAGGTATTAAATAAGTTATGACTTAGCTTACAAATATATGCGTATTATTCATTTGACTGTTTATTTAGGTTACCTTTTTTTCTGGTCTTTACAGATGTTCAAATGTTTGTATGTAATAAGGAGACCTATGGTTACCTTCCTGTACCTTTACGCGCCCACAATACTTTGCAAGATGAAGCTGATAGTTTTTTACACTCACTATTGGAAGTTAATGGTAAGTTACCTGCATTTTGACTGTAAATAAGCTCTTCCTTTAGGCTGGCTTTTGTCCAGTAAATGTGTTTCTTTCACATTGTCTTCAGCATGAATCTTACATATTTTTTCAATTTCTGCTTCCATCTTGTGTCTCTCTAGTGCGGAATCCTCCTCTAATGCCTTCCAAATATATCCCTGTTCCTAGAAAGAAAACTGATAAAATGGGGTTTGATGAGGTAGGTAGAGGTGCGAAGATGGAAATTGAAAAAATGGCCTTCCGCCTTTTTCATAAGCCGCCGCCCCTCTGCTGATAAGATAAATGTTTAAACTTGATGGCTTCATTTTTTTGTGCAGGTGTTCATGATAAATTTGCAGAGGCGGACTGATCGCAGAGAACGTATGCTAAGGACCCTGTATGAGCAGCAGATTGCATGCAAAGTCATTGCAGCAGTAGATGGAAAGTAAGTTTACTCTTCTACAAGAAAGAAGACTGTTCCGTCCTTATTTTTTATTTATTTATTTATTTCGAGTGGAATCTTGACTTGGAGTCTTCCCGAGCTCAGTCTTGAGTGAAGACCCCAGTCTCAAACCGATATTACTCAGCATCTGTGTGCTCTCTTTAGCATAGGTAATAGAGTAATTAAGTTGTATACATGTGACAAGTAAAATGTATCACCATATTCTGTGCCCAATGACCACAGGCACCACTGATGCCTTGGCCTTCCAGGTTTTCTCCAGCTCATCTCTGAGCGCCTGGTATTTCTCTAGTTTCTCATGTTCCCTTTTCCTGATGTTGCAGCCACTTGGTATTGCTAAGTTGCCTCCGTTAATTGACTCACTTCTCTCCGTGTTGCCTTGATTCTAGCCTCCAGCCCTCTTTTCCATGGTGGGAATTTCATCACATGGTTGTTCTTACAGCCAAGCATCTCTAGGATCACTGCTGCTGTGCAGAATATCAGCTCGTTGGTGTCATTGATGGTTGATGTAGGAAGTGCTTGCAGAGCTGTATTCATGTCTTCTAGTAGACTTTCTGATTGTACTTCACTTAGTCTCTATAACTGGCTTCGGGGTTGCCTGATGGAGATCTTTGCCATGATCTATCTATATATATATATAATATGTTATAGGGAAGGGTATAATGGAAGTGGAGAGTAATGGATAAGATGAAAGACGAATTCAGAATAATTTATGTCTTGAAGTAGTAAACATTCATTGATTATCTACTATTGACTAAATACAGTCTTAATCAACACTAGGAAACTGGTTCATAACACTGCATTTCCTAAAACACTGCACTGATTCTGTTTGTAAAATGACAGATTTGTTATTGGTTTAAGCATTTTTGTGCCTGATGCTTTCCAAAGATACCTTGTATAAACAATTTAGACCTAGCTGTCCATTAGAGACATGTATGTTTAGTGTGGAACTGTTGAACATTTCCTTATTGCTCATCACTAGTTAGATGTCCCTGAAATCCTGAGATATGCAGTAACTATTGCCTCTTTTAAAGCAGAACTAAAGAATAAAAGCTGCTTTTTAGCTGTATTTTATTTATTTACTCATATTTTGTTATTTTATGTAATTCTAAAATGTATGTTTTGTTAATGTTGTTATACTTCTTTACTACAGTATTGTACAAATAGATTTCTCTTGTCTTTATTTCAGAGCAATGAATATCAGTGAAATTCATGCCTTGGGTATCCATATGCTCCCAGGGTATCAGGACCCTTATCATGGTCGACCACTGACAAAGGGGGAGCTAGGCTGCTTTCTTTCCCACTACAATGTCTGGAAAGAGGTGAACCTTAGAAGAACATTTAAGGCAGTTTTGAAACTGACAATAACTAATGTTTGGTTTTCTGCCTTTTAGATTGTAGATCGACATCTAGAGACTTCTCTGGTGATTGAAGATGACCTGCGTTTTGAGGTCTTCTTCAAACGTCGGTTGATGAACTTGATGAGTGAGGTTGAGCAAGAAGGGCTGGACTGGGATCTTATGTAAGTCTTTTTTTTATGTGTCTCAGTTTTATTCAGTCAGCAGATTTTCTCGCTTAATATCTTTGTTTCTTTCTTTTTCAAAGATATATTGGGCGGAAAAGAATGCAAGTGGATCACAAGGAGAAAGCAGTACCAAATATACATAACATAGTGGAAGCAGATTATTCATACTGGACTCTAGGTTATATGATTTCATTGCAGGGTGCTGAGAAGCTGTTGAAAGCAGAACCACTAAAAAGGATTTTGCCAGTAGATGAGTTCCTTCCTATAATGTTCAACAAACACCCTGTGTAAGTTTTTATCTCAGTAAGGAAAATTACACAGAGATTTACAAAAAATGACTCGACAAGGACAAGTTATTGTTTTATTTACTTTGCCTTTTCATTCACAGCTCTGATTATATGGAGCAGTTTGAAAACAGGGACCTGAAGGCCTTTTCTGCAGAGCCTCTCCTGGTGTATCCAACTCACTATACTGGTGACCCGGGCTACATCAGTGACACTGAAACCTCCACTGTCTGGGACAATGAAAAGGTCCGGACAGACTGGGACAGAGAAGCGCGCTCCGGAAAAACTCAGGAACAGACTGAGATCAGCCGTGAGGCCCAAAACACGGATGTACTTCAGTCCCCTTTGGACAGTACAGCTCGGGACGAGCTTTGAGTAAAGCTGAGTGGGGGCTTGAGATTTAAAGATGCAAGTAGCTAACCCTAAATATTTTTTTTTCTAAGCAGGGATAAACTTTAAACTTTGATATCAAAGTTTAAGGAAGGATCAGATTTGACAGATGTGACAAGTTAAAAAGGGATCATCAATAACTTATGTTTTATACCTTGATATTATTGTTATTGGGAACTAGACTTGCCATTGTCAATGGCATTTGCAGTACTCACATTCTGTCTGTCATACAGAAATGACCAGCAAATGAAATTAAATTGGTTTATCCCAAACGTTTTAAGCAAACTTACTTTACGTTACACATCAAAATGTTTATTTTCCAAATTTCCTAAGAGTGCAGTTTAATAAAAGAAAAACACTGTCTCAAAATACACTCTAATTTCAAATCAACTTTTGTTTCTAGCTTTTATTTTAAAACACTTTTTTGTAGCTTTCTTTTTTAGTAAAGCCCTTTTAAATAAAATGTGAACTTTTATATGAGAAGCATACAGATAAATGTTCCACCTGTTGTGTTTCTTCCTGTTTGGATTAACTGAGTGTGCAACTGAGTGTGCAGCTGTTCAGAGGATCTCCATCTGAAGTTAAGTTATTTTCTCTGTGATATCTCTGTATCTAAGTAACTCTAACTGACTACTTTAAAACATAGCACCTTCTGCTGCACTTTTCTACTGAGCACTTGTCAGTTTCACACGGTTTTATTTCTGATAGCAAGAAGTAGCTAGCCTAGGCTAGCGCTAGCTTAGCATTGCTATGGCTTCTCTCTCTCCCTCCCTTGACTCTTTTCCAACTCTTCCTTCTTCCTCTCCTCTCTCCTGCTCTCTGTGTCAGATGTTCAGTTATTCCTCTGCCTCCTTTAGTGATAATGGGATGTGTAATAAGTGTAGTATTTTTGTAGCTTTGGAGGCGAGGGTGTCAGAGTTAGAATCCAGGCTTCAGGCTGTTGAAGTAGGCCCCCCACGTAGCTGTCCTCCAAAAGTGCCTGAGCAGCCAGGCGATTGGGTAACTGTACGCAGAAAGCGTAGTCGTGGATCTCTGCCCACTGGTCACCACCAACCCGTTCACGTTTCTAACCGGTTTTCCCCACTCAGTGACACACCCACTGAGAAGCCCACTCTGGTGATTGGCAGCTCCATAGTCAGAAACGTGGCATTAGAGACACCAGGGACCATAGTCAAATGTTTGCCGGGGGCCAGAACGGGCGACATCAAATCCTACCTGAAACTACTGGCTAAGGATAAGGTTAAATACAGTAAGATTGTTATTCACGCTGGTGGTAATGACACCCGGTTACGCCGATCGGAGGTCACTAAAATTAGTGTTGCTTCGGTGTGTAAGTTTGCCAAAAAAATGTCGGACTCCGTAATTTTCTCTGGTCCCCTCCCTGATCTGACCAGTGATGACATGTTTAGCCGCATGTCGTCATTCAATCGCTGGTTGTCTAGGTGGTGCCCTGAAAACAACGTGGGCTACATTAATAATTGGCAATCCTTTTGGGGAAAGCCTGGTCTGATTCGGAGAGACGGCATCCATCCCACTTTGGATGGTGCAGCTCTTCTTTCTAGGAATCTGGCCACATTTATTAGTCCTCCAAAACCCTGACCACCCAGGGTGCAGACCAGGAAGCAGAGTTGTAGTTTAACACACATCTCTGCAGCTTCTCTACTGTTACCCACTCTTTACTCCATCCAGACAGTGTCTTGCCCACGACCAAAATCTAATAAATTAGCAAAGATTCCCAAAGGAGTAAATCATGATAATCTAATTAAAATCAAAATAACTCCAATTGGGGAAAAAGTTAAAACAATTAAATGCGGTCTGTTTAACATAAGATCGCTTTCCTCTAAAAGTCTACTAGTTAATGACTTGATTTGTGATAATCACATTGACTTGTTTTGCCTTACAGAAACCTGGCTGCAGCAAGAGGATTATGTGAGCATAAATGAGGCAACTCCTTCAAGCTATTTAAATTTTCACATCCCCAGAAGTTCTGGGCGAGGAGGAGGAGTAGCAACAATCTTCGAGTCTGACTTACTGATTACTCCCAAAACAATTAATTCCTACAACTCTTTTGAACATTTAACCCTTAATTTCCCTGATCCAAATTTCAAGGCAAGAAAACCTCTTCTTTTTGTAACTTTGTATCGTCCACCAGGTCCTTACTCTGAAATTTTAGATGAGTTTTCAGAGTTCCTTTCTGATTTGGTATTAAATACTGACAGGGTCATCATAGTGGGAGATTTTAACATCCATGCTGACATTGAAGGCGATAGCTTAAGAGCAGCCTTTAATGCTATCTTAGACACTATTGGCTTTGTTCAAAATGTGAATAGTCCCACGCATTCTCATCTTCATACTTTGGATCTTGTGCTGACATACGGCATAGAATGTGAAGAAATAACAGTATTTCCTCACAACCCTGTCCTCTCTGACCACTTTCTAATAACCTTCAGGATTACTTTAACAGAGTTCTCCTCCCCCAAAAGAAGGTTCAATTTTAGTAGATCTTTATCAGATAGTGCAGTTATAAATTTTAAAGAATCTGCTTCACTTTCTCTCTGCTCTGTGTCACTGAGCAGTGCTGCAGAGTGCAAAAGCTTAGCTTATTCCCCTTCACAGGTTGATGATTTTGTTGAGGGGGTTGCTAGTTCTCTGCGTATTGCCTTAGACAACGCAGCTCCTTTGAAAATGAAAACCGTTAAAAATAGAAAGCTTGCTCCTTGGTTTAATGCAGAGCTGCGTACTTTGAAGCAAAATGCTAGGAAACTGGAGAGAAAATATCGCTCCACAGGCCTGCGAGAGTCCTTCCTAGTCTGGAAAAATGGTTTACTGCTGTATAAGAGGACCCTTTGTAAAGCAAGAGCAGCATACTTCTCCTCATTAATAGAGGAGAATAAGAATAATCCTAGATTTCTTTTTAATACAGTTGCCAAACTCACCCAGAGCCATAGCTCTGTTGAACCGTCCATTCCACCTGCTCTTAGCAGCAATGATTTTATGGGATTCTTTATAAATAAGATTGATCTTATTAAAAATAAGATCATAAGCACTCCTCTATCCGCGATTGTACCTGAGGTAGTCATGGAATCTGAACCGGGTTTAGACTGCTTTGATCCAGTTGAACTCTCTGAATTAGCAAAATTATTGTCTTCATCTAAGCCTTCAACTTGTATGTTAGATCCAGTTCCAACCAGGTTATTTAAGGAGGTATTCCCTTTGATCTCCTCCTCCATTTTAGATGTGATTAATCTATCTCTGTTACAGGGATATGTACCTAAAGCTTTTAAGATTGCTGTAATTAAACCTCTGCTTAAGAAACCGTCTCTTGACCCAGATGACTTGGTCAATTATAGACCTATATCCAATCTTCCTTTCTTATCCAAAATTCTTGAGAAAGTAGTTGCCAAACAAGTTTGCGATCACTTCCACCATAATTAACTTTTTGAAGAGTTTCAGTCTGGCTTTAGAGCTCATCATAGCACTGAAACAGCTCTGGTGAAAGTCACTAATGATATTCTCATGGCCTCAGATAATGGACTTGTATCTGTGCTCGTCCTGTTGGATCTTAGTGCTGCATTTGATACAGTTGACCATAATATTCTTTTAGAAAGACTTGAATATTTTGTTGGAATTAAAGGAACAGCACTAGACTGGTTTAAATCTTATCTATCTGATCGAATTCAGTTTGTTCATGTTAATGATAGATCTTCAACACGCTCAAAGGTTACCTGTGGAGTACCACAGGGATCAGTGCTAGGACCAATTCTCTTTACTTTATACATGCTCCCAATTGGTAGAATTATTAGACAGCATGGGATTAATTTCCACTGTTATGCTGATGATACCCAGCTATATCTGTCTATAAATCCAGATGAAGCTAACCCATTACATAGATTACAGGCATGTCTTGAAGACATAAAAACCTGGATGACTCTTAATTTTCTGCTTCTGAATGCAGACAAAACAGAAGTTATAGTCTTTGGACCAGAGTCTCTGAAAAAGAAACTGATTAGCCAGTCACTTCATTTGGATGGGATTAAACTGGTTTCAGATAATAAAGTAAAAAATCTTGGTGTTATTTTTTATCTGGACCTGTCATTTAAATCCCAGATCAAAGAGGTTTCTAGAATTTCCTTCTTTCATCTGAGGAACATTGCAAAAATTAGAAATATCCTGTCCAGGGGTGATGCTGAGAAACTAGTCCATGCATTTGTTACTTCAAGGCTGGACTATTGTAATTCTTTACTATCAGGAAGTCCACAAACTGTAGTTAAAAGCCTTCAGCTGATCCAAAATGCTGCAGCCAGAGTTCTAATGAAAATTAAAAAGAGAGATCATATCTCTCCTATCCTGGCTTCTCTTCATTGGCTTCCTGTTAAATCAAGAATAGAATTTAAAATCCTCCTTCTCACATATAAAGCCTTAAATGGCCAAGCTCCATCTTATATCAGAGATCTGATTGTTCCTTATGTTCCTAACAGAGCACTTCGCTCTCAATCTGCAGGTTTACTAGTGGTTCCTAGAATTTCTAAAAGTAGAATGGGAGGCAGATCTTTTAGTTATCAGGCTCCTCTCCTGTGGAACCAACTACCAGTTTTAGTCCGTGAGGCAGACACCCTGTCTACTTTTAAGGCTAGGCTTAAAACTTTCATTTTTGATAAAGCTTATAGTTAGGGTGGCTCAGGTTATCCTGAGCTATCTCTATAGTTATGCTGCTATAGGCTTAGACTTTTGGAGGACATAGGGACCCCCATTTCATCATTCTGCTTCATTCTCTCTCTGTTCTCCTATTCTGCAGAATCTGTTAGTTCAATCTCTAACCTTCTGCTCTCTCTGCTTTTCCTCAGAGTAGCTTTGCCTCGTCTGTTCCTGTTTGGCTGTGACGTCATCCTGGAAAAAAACATCAGCTGTGCTGCTTCTATCAACACCCTTGTTAATAGATGTTGGAGATCGGCCTGTTTTCCAGTGTGGTCCTGTTTCTCTGACCGTGACTGAGTGGATGTGCTCTCTTCGTCCTCTGGCATGGGAGCTGCCTTGGAGCTCGTCTGCCTGGCTGTGTGTTTCCTGGACGGGGCCGCCTTTTACAGCTGCTTTTTGTATCTCTGCTTCTGTCTCCTTGAACCCCAGTCGGCCTCGGCAGATGGCCGCTCACACTGAGCCTGGTTCTGCTGGAGGTTTCTTCCTGTTAAAAGGGAGTTTTTCCTCTCCACTGTCGCTACAAGCATGCTTAGTGTGGGGGATTGTATTTGAGTCAATGAGTCAATGCAATCAACTGGTTTTCCTTAGATAGAAAACTTTGTATCAATTTGACTGTATGATCTGGTTGAACTGTAAAGTGCCTTGAGATGACATGTGTTGTGAATTTGGCGCTATATAAATAAACTGAATTGAATTGAAATTGAAAATTGAATTGTTTCAATAAAAATCATTCACCGATTTACTTTGTAGAAACATGTCAGTGGTTTACTGTTCTAAGAAAAGAAAATTAAAAGTTTGTTTGAAAAAAATTATCTTTGTGA